AGATGGTTGGTACAGTGTCTTACGTTCCAGTAACCTATGCGTGTGACTGACTTAGCAGACAGGATTCTAGTCTTCGGGACGTCAGCTTCCTCGGTGAGGCTTTCACTGGCGTCCGTCCTTCTGTGTGCGCATGGCCCTTCTTCTATCATGAAACGACTTACGAAATGATAATTTTCTCATCACACATGATGCACACTAGACCTAAACATTTTTTGCTATTTCATACATGTATGTATCATGCTTTTGTGCAGTTATAGCTGTCATTGTCATTGTCATTGTTAACCACGATGAAGGTACGAAAGGTGAAAGATCAGGTACCTGCGGCCTTTTCTTCTTTCTTGTCGAGAGAACGCCTACGACGAAACGTGGATCTACGTCTCCAGCTTGACGCCTCTTTCAGGACGTCAGTTGCCAATATCACAGCGATCAGCAAAGCGACTCTCATCCTAGGGGGAACAAGACTGGCAATGAAAACATACATTGCCATGGCGACGGTGGTTGCTGTTAGGGTTATTGTTTGCATGGCACTGCCATCATTTCAATTGATTTTGAGAAAGACTTAAGACTTAATTGGTACCTGATCAGTCTAGACAGATACAGTGCACTCCTCCCCTTAGTGTATAGTGAACGAGCCCCGGGATCACAGCAAATAGGGTCATCCGTTGAAGAGAGATCTTTCCAAGGGTTTTCAGGAATGTGGGAATAGGTGTGGACATTTCATTCCTGTGGACAAAATTCCTAAATTTCTTGCAAACTGCACACAATACTGTACCATTAGGCTCCTCTCTGAGACGTCGCCAAAAACATCAAAGAGTCAAGGGTGAACCATAACGCATTACTTTCAGCTGAGAGCTGATGGTTTTGTGTTTCATCCCTTCTTGGTGCAGTCAAATTCAATACAGTAACTCCTTCCTTTTTTTGACAGGTGAAACAGAAATATTTATTTCATTCCTTGAAAAACGGATGGGGACTTCGAAATAGAATTCAAGACACATGCCAGGTCCACTCTTTACATCTCAGAGGTTCTATGAAGTCTCTTATTGAATGGTGGCTATTCAGACATTGTTTTAGACATAGCAATAGTTTTAGACAATTAGACTCATTATGTACATTTTGAAGTTGTTATATACTCTGTTTCAATGTTCTTTTATGTTTGTAACTTGCAATTAGCCTTCGTGCACGGATTTGCAATAAACTTCTCATTATTGGTATATGCAAGGCAAATAGGATACTGCTGAGAATAAGGTCAAACGTATCTGCACATAAAGTACTTTGTTTTCCCTATCTATTTTCTTCGAGGTCAAAGCTGTGCAATAGCTCAATTGGTAGAGTGCTCGCTTTGTAACCGGGAGGTCGTGAGTTCAAACCCCGGTCGGGTCATACCAAAGACTTTAAAAATGATACACACTTCTTTCTCTGCTTAGCACTCAGCACATATGAGAAAGAGTGTGGGAAGGTCAAGCACACAGCACTACCAGCGGACTATCCCCCTGCTGTAGTGCCCTGCACAACTGTGTGTCGCCCAAGGGCTACGGAAATGGATATGGGCTCTGCATAAAGCGACGGTCACAACCCGCCGTACGTGCTTTTTGTCCGTACGTTTTTTGGGAGGCTACGTCGGCTACGTTTTTTCTGAAAACGTAGGGAAGGAGTGGCGTCGACGCACGTCACTCGCACGGTTGCGCAAGGTGTAAGAGTGTGGTCTGCACGTTACGTCTGGCCGTGAGCGGTTGCGTGCATTGTACGTTGCGCAAGTGGTAAGTGAGTTGTACGTGCTTACAACGTACGATCTCTGTGCGATCTCTGTGCGATTGCAACTTTACCGTAAGGAGGCCGTACTCACACTTGCTTCGTCCGCACGGCACGTACGGGGCACGCACGTCGCTCGTACTCGCACGCACGGGTGGTGAATCCGCAGACCGCACGTAGAAAAAGTTTTACAAGCACTTAAAGTTCTACGGCGTGTCTGCGTGCTCCCAAATCCGTAGGATTCCGTACGGAGGTGGTACTCACCACGCACGGATGCCCTGCGTTTGCCCACGTTTTTGCACGTAGACAGCACGCAGAAGCACGTACGGCGGGTTGTGACCGTCGCTTAAGGGCACGGGAGACCTTTCTTTCTTTCACAGTTCACAGCCCCACAGACATACAAGAGTAATCGGTATGCCCAAGGACATTCTTATGTAATCAGTATAATTGACTTCTGAGGTGCATGCGCTACCTTTTTTTCGCGATGCTGACTTGCTTGAGTTTTATCACACTCACATCATTGTTGGCATATCACATGAACATACTCATGCTCAACGACCTGCAGTGGCCTCTCCTCTCCGAAAGGAGGAGGAAGGCCCGCCTCACAACTTTTTATAAACTGACCCATAATATTATTAAGATCCCCACCAGCAACCTGCTCAAGCCAGCCCAAGGGCGTACCCGAGGGAGCCACCAGTATAAATTTATATCAACCTATACATGCACGAACAGACACTTACAAATATTCCTTCTTCCCTCGCACAATCCCCCAATGGAACGCCTTGCCTGGCCCGGTAGTTATGGCTCCCACCGTTGAGTCCTTCCGGGCCAGGCTGGAGGCCTGCCCGCCTTAGACCAAGGCCTCCCCCCCCTAAAGTGCCCCATCAGGGGCTATATGGGGGTGTAGCCGGGGCTCACATAACATCTTTGAGCCCCGGCAAAGATGAAGATGAAGACATACCAGTATTCTACACATGACAGTAAACGACGTTTAGCCCAGTGCTGTATATTTCGTCACATCTACGATAACATTTGGTGTGTTCGCATAGCTGGTGTGTTACGCCGAAGGGCGGATGTACCGGCTATACCGATACAGATACAGATACAGATTTTTGTGGGGTCGTGTGGTGTAGCGGCAGCGTGCTCAACTCGGAACCAGGAGATCCCGGGTTCGAGTCCTGACATGCCACCGATCTTGTGCGTGGGGTGTGGCTCTCCCCAAATACGAGACCTCCATTTAAGGTCCTTTCCGAGCTAGTGACGTCCCTAACCGAGTGAAGTGAGGAAAGTCGTGTGAAGTGGCTTTCCCAAGGGCAAAAAATCGGTGACATGGGCAGGATTCAAACCCGCGACCTCTTGGGTGTGCCACACGACCCCACATTGTAGAATTCACGACCAAACTGTATCTGGCGATAAGAAATTAAACTTTCTAGCAGTACTCTCTTACCTTATCGAAGCGATTGTCAGTCCCCGGCGTCGAGGTATGGATATAAACGGTGATAGCTTAATCTTGAGAGGACTCTCCTTCTTACACTCTTTTGCTGTCGACGTCTGTGCTACGAGTCCCTGTCACCTGATGAGCCAGCATGAAGAACCAGTCGAACTAGTTTTCTTTTGTAATTTGTTTATCAAAAGTACAATGTCCTTGAGAAAGGTCACTGAAAGGTTGTTGACTTCTTCTTCTTCTTTTTTTCTTCTTTACTCATCCTCTTCTGAGGTGCAGCGCGTGAAGTTTTGTCGCCAGTACTTTCTGTCTTTCATAGCAGACAAAAGTTCCAATCCTTGTAGACCAGTGTCAGACTGGATAAGGCCTTTAAGTGTTGTGATTGGACGCCCAATCCTCCTTTTTGCCTCTGGAGTCCAGAGTAGTAATCGACCCGCTGGTTCTGTACCGCGAGTCACATGACCCGCGAGGCTAAGCCTACGTCTTTACACTACCGTGGTGATGTTTTGGAGTGTTCCATATAACTGTTTGTTTGTGATGTGTTTACACCAGGGTATGTTATAGACTACCCGCAACATCTTAGTGTGAGTACCGTCAAGTTTTTTGGATCTCGTATGTTGACTTCTAATGAATCTAAAAGGTCTGGGTTCCAGTCCCTCGCAGTCCCTATAATGTGGTGAAAGGCAAATTTACAACTATTTTCCTAAACTTGAGTATAGCTCGAGAGTGATCGACTCAGAACCAAGAGGTCCCGGGTTCGAGTCCTGACATGCCACTTTCTTCACTTAAAATGAGCATTGTCCTGTATTGTTTCTATGTGTGGGACACAACACCAACAACAGCTGCATATACGTGACATTCCAAATCCCATTTTGTTTCTATGCCAGTTAGGCCATGTTGATTCGAGTATATGGATGACATCCTCCGAGAACCCCAAAATTGATGCGCGCGTGCGAATAAAAAAAAAGTTTTGCAAAAAAAGAAAGTTGTTTTCATTATGAAATCTACGTGGTCATGAGGGTTGAACAAATGGGACAGAATATGGTTTGGCGAATAATCTAGTCTTCAAGTTCATTTCTTTACAATTTCGTCTTTTTTCGTTTGATTTTGGCATTCTACGACATTGGTATGGTTTTTTTGTAACTTACGGTATATTTTTGCTCATTTTGCAACTGTTTTGTACGATTTACAGTATGGTTGAAAACTTTTTTTTTGAAACGGCCGAAAATTCATGCGCGCGCGGATGTCATCCATATAATCAAATCAACATGGCCTCAGCATATCTAACAGGGCGTAAAAGTACTGTAAATACAAGATGTCATATCGGGAAAGGTCTTCTCGTCTTTTCAATAAGTGCTGTAAGATTTAAGCGTAGTCGAAGTGTGTCTTTGATTTGATTTGATTTGTTGATATTGTTACAATACAATACACGTGGGATTGGAATCTCACGTAAATAAATAGGAATTTATCTTGGCCTGTCTATGTATGTATCGTGTTAACCTTTATCTATACTGCTGGCATTTTTACACAATATTTTTCAATAATTTCATGTCTTAATCAGGTCATAGATCCCCACCTTTTTAGCCCTGCGGTGGCGTAGTTACTTGTACTTCCGTATTCCTTGCATTTCGCTGCGGTGTGATGCGTTGCACCAGAAATACCCCCAAACCGTACAGGGCACTATATAGATAGTACTGTATGTGCAACCCATATATATGGGCTCCGCAGGACAAGGGTTTTAAGCCAATGAAACGTACATTTTCCCGTAAGGCCACACCGACTTAATTTTATGTATGACATCCTCTGAAGACCCCCAAACTAGTGCGCGCGGGCGAATAAAAAACAAGAGTTCCACGATCTCATACCTTCGCCAAATGATGTTAACCCTTGCGGTTGAAGAATTATACAATTTTAATAATTGATTTTGCAAATAAGATCCTCATTTGCATGGGTTATATCAGTTGATCATATTCTCCACCCAATGACAGTCTTATCTTAACAAAAAGGCTATTATAGCACTTCCTCATAAATTATGCAAATGAGGTCATGATTTGAATAAATTATGTTTATTGATGTTCGCCTTCACTTAACTTCCAAATGTGGCAAGTATGAAGTTCCCAGCAGTTACAACTATAAAATTATAAAGATTTTCCATTAATTATGCAAATTAGGTCTTCATTTACATAATCTATATCCTCAGATTTTTTTTCATTCTCAATTACATTTAACAAGTGTTTCATAGTCCTATTATCGAACAATGCAGAGTTTTAGAATTTCCTCATTAATTATGCAAATTAGCTCCTGATTTGCATAATTATCATTTGATTATGTCAAGCATCACTTCAGCTACCTACATACCAAAAATCATGACAATCCGTCACCCGGTTCCTTAGTTATCATCCTTCGAAAAATTTTCAACAAACGTTCCTGCAGTTCCAGAACAAGCCGCTAGGGGGCCCAAACTTATGTCACTTCTTTCCTACCCCAAGAGCTATCTACCAACAAAAATTCGTGACCCTAGCATGTACAGATCGCGAGATATCAAAACCGGAAGTTCTGCTGCAGTACCAACAGAAGCCGCCAGGGGACCCAAAATCTAATCATTTCTAGCTCTCATGAAGACCTACCCACCTACCAAGTTTCATGACAATGCATACTAAGCTTCTTGAGTTATGCTGTTCACAGACAGACAGACAGACAGACGGACAAACGCTACTGAAAACATAACCTTCTTGGCGAAGGTAAAAATTCCGGCAAAAAATAAAAATGCTACTTAACCACAGGAATACAAAGCTGTTATTGTGAATTTACGGCAGTACATAGCGACGGATACAATAAGTCGGCACATGCTGGCATTTTGCGGAATCGGCACTGTACGTATGTACTGAGTTCTTGAGTCGTGGATCTTCGGTAGCCTGGGTGCCATCCTCCAGAGTTACCACCGGCTCCGTATTGTCGGTAACTATCATGGACTACCCAGGCCTAGAGCTAGGCCAGAGCCTCGGTGGACGTGCTTCTTTTTTTTTTTTTTGAGAACAGGCGAAAATCAATGCGCGCGCGGATGTCATCCATAAAATCAAATCGGTGTGGCCTAAAATGTAATTCGACCCTCATACTGCCGCCAAGAAGATTATGTTAAACTTTATCTTAATTTTTCTTGTGGTCAAAATGTGATGCACATCCATACCTAGTGGCCTAGATAATATTTGTAACCTATGTATTTTTCATCACTTGGCAAAACTGTGATATGGAATATGGTAGTACTTGAGACAGCCAGATGTTGACAAATACAAAGGCTGCAGAAAACCAGTAGTACCAAGTTCTATGCATTGTACGTATAAGTATAAGGTTGTATTCGCGTATATAAGGTTAAAATCCGGTCTGTAGTTTCCAAATATTGTGTCTGAAAAGATATCGTCTGCAACAGGCAAAATTCGTATGCAACGTTGACCAAAATTCTAACGAAAACCCTGAAAAAGGCACAGTACGTTCTGCCGACGTACAATGTACTATTATAATAATAGCCTAGACAGCACATGTCTTTTGATTTCGTTCACAGCTTCGTAGTTTTCACCACAACTATACTACTTGTTTATTTGTTTATTTCAATGTTTCACAAAGTGAAAGGGGGAGGGGGGCAACACAGGTGCGTACGCCCTTTAATTTACAAGTTGCCCTCCCCCAAACTACTGTTTTTCATTTCATTTATTTCGAAGTCTTTTAGCCCTGCCGGGCTCGTCTTCCAAGGCTCAAACATTCAAATTACATAATCACATACATGGAGAATACAGTGAAAATACAGTGAATACATTTAAAAAGACATAAATACATCATAACATCAACAAGGAACACGCAAATCCATACTTACAATTTAAGAGCGAATGTCTGTAAGGATCAAACAATGGTGGCACCGGTCAAAAAATCGATTTGGCTCATTTTTTGCACAGTGATAGTACTTGGTACATAACCCCTCAGAATAGCTTTCTTTTTGCTCAGAACCCCTTGTTGCCATGGCAACGGGCCAAAGAAGTTTTCAGGGCATTTGTCCAGATTTTGGCATGTACAAAACATAGAAATTGGCTAACTTTAGGGCACTATAACTGATCAGTGCTTTAGCGTAACGACAAGAGCAAGATGTGCTGATCAGAGCAATGCCTAAACTTGTATAAAATAGCAGTAAAGCCAATGTGCAGTAAAATCTGAGGTCTTGGGCACTCTGAATACAATGCACTGTTTTAAGGGTGTAAAAAAACTGAAATTTTGCCCAACTTTGAAGCACTGTAAGTCCCAGAAGGGGAAGATGTTTTGCTTGAAATTTACACTGCATAATAAACCACTCCAGAGGTATCAGATGCATGCTTGCAAAGTTTGGGTTCTTGTTTCGTTGCTACGCACTTGTCCTTTAAAGTAGGTCAGTTTTCGTTATTTTGATAATATGTCATTCTGTGCTATCCTTGAACTAACATAAGTTCCAAACCAAACTAGTTCTTTACTTGAAATTTACATGAGGTATAAAACAAATTGTTTATGAAATGCATGCTTGCAAAGTTTGGGTTCTTGTTTCGTTGCTACGCACTTGTCCTTTAAAGTGGGTCAGTTTTCGTTGTTTTTGATGATATGTCATTTTTGTGCTATCTTTGACCTAACATAAGTTCCAAACCAAACTAGTTATTTACTTGAAAAGTTACATAGAATATAAAAAC